AAAAAATGTCATACAAACGACTTGGAAACCTCCTTTTTGTAACTCAGTTATAAATTCATTTTGTCGTGTTTAAAACTTAGATGGCGTTATTGTAAAATATTTTTTTTTAATTATGCATAGTTTATTTATAAGAAACAATTTAATTGAAATCGATTTACATATAATATTAGTCGTTTTTTTAGTTATTAATGTTGTTAGTTTATTGTTAAAGTTAGTCTATGCTGTTGCAGCTAGATGGCGCTGCACGGTTTAGATTATCAAATTATTGTAGTTACGTACTTTTATTTTAAAATTATTAAATTATTAAATTAAAAATCCATTAGAGTTTTTAACCTGAACTGTTTTTTCTGTATTATATATTTGGTGACTAATATTCGTCGTATCAATGCCATCTAGTGATGATAATCTGAATTATTAAAATCCAGTTAGCCGACACTTGCAAACGAAATTAAAAAGTGCATTGCGGTGTGAATAACAAGCACATAAAAATAAAACAATGCGTCAGACGAGCAAATATGGGCGAGACTTGAGGTGCGCCGGTCAACGGCCTTGGTAATTCATTTGCCACAGAACTTAGTGATACATTCATGTCAAAGTTAAAAAAATAACTTCACCAGTCACTTACAAGAGGTACATAGCAGTTTTATATGATTTTTGTACATTTTGGAGTATTGCATTTTTTTTTAATCAGGCGCCCTCTATTGCAGTGTTAAAAAATTAGAATCATTGATTTAATTTATTAAACAAATATAAAAGTATGCCAATAAAATTATCATCAAATCGCAGTTATCGCGTTTGTAAATAAAACTATGAACAAGATAATCTAACATTGCCCTTGATTTCTTATCTGTGGGAACATAGATTAAGGACAAGAAGCCAAAATATCTACTCTATGGACAACATTCTGACGTAAAATGTCTAATTACGTTTAAAAATAAATAGTAACAAAAAGTGTAAATAAAGTAAACACATTGACTAGCACTAGAAAGTGTCTGAATAAGAAAATAAACATTCTTGTGATGTCCTAAATACAAATTTTGTTTAAACATGCGTAAACATTCACTAAACAAAAGGATGTCGATATTAAACATTCATTTGCTTTGAAATTTAAATGTAAATTACCTAATTTACTTTTAAAAAATATTGTAACCAACAATGAAATATAAAAAAAAAACTCGTTTTTTTACACATTTGAAGGTGTATAAAAATAGAACTGTCATACAAATTTTTGTTTTCTCAAATCTAAATTTTTATTATAGCGCCATCTTTGTACCAAAAAAACAAAAAAATCAAAACAATCTCTTGACTATTTTTAAAAACTTTGTAATAACAGGGAAGAAATAAATACTACGTACAACAGGAATGAGTTCTATCTGTACATCTTGCAGTTAAAATAAAGAAAATAAAACCTTATACTAAGGACGTAAGTCTTGTTGCACGCAAAATAAAATTGAATCCGATGAGACAGCTACAAGTGGCCCCTGTGTCTCTTTTCTACTTCCACTGTCTGTCTATTCCATGGTTATAACATCAAATCTATGCATAGTTTACCTCAAGACCGGTAAATGTTGCCAGTATTGTAATACGAGGTACATTAGCGCTTGTTTACTTAAACATGCTGCAGACGCGATGAGTCAAGGCCCAAGCTTATATGAAACCCAAAACGATCTATGATGTCATCTGCTAGTCGCCATGTTAAAAACAAATTTTAAAATATGTATTTATATTTTACGACGAAGTCGCGAGCAACACCTAGTTAAATATTATACAATCAAAGTAATACATAACAACCATTATGAGTTTTAATACACATTTCCTTTTATGTTATTTTCCTCGTAATAAGTTTTTTTTTTTAATTTTCCTTGTCGCTCTTGTTATACTTAACAAGAATTAATATTCTTTACTCGCTGAATATATTCATTTAAAACTATTTAATATGACATTGTGGAAAGATGTTTTGTATGAAAAGTCAATACGTAGTTTAGTTACAATGTTAGTTTTTATTTGCTTTATGTCTAACTCACTGTTGCTCGCGACTTCGTCTACGTGAAATTATACCCTATAGTACTCACTGATAACGTAGCTTTCCAAGGGTGAAAGAATTTTTAAAATTGGACCAGTAGTTTTTGAATTCAATACATACAAAAATACAAATCTTTCATCGTTATAATATTAGTATAGATACAGATTTTCTTAAAGCAATCACAACTGGTGTGTTTCGTTTAGTATGCAGTAAATAAGATCCACAGCGGACTTGTATCGTTTACTGTGAATTAGGCTAACATTGAACGGGAACGTGTGAATCAACCGCTACTTTCACGACGGATAGGTTTCTGGTAACAATAATATGCACTAACTTAGTGGCAATTAAGTTTGGACTTTATGAATTTTAGTTACAGTAACCAATTACCTTCTTTAACTTTGTATCAACAAAGATTACTTTAGAACATTTTTAATTACATTATGATCGATTTTATTACAAGTAAAAATGTTCAATTTGATTTCTAAAAAATCGCAACTGAAAACTACCGAATCGACCTACACCTAAATGACTGAAATTCGACTTAATTAACTGATAACCCACTGATAACGTTCGGTTCAGCCAACCAGCGTCAGTTGCTCACCGCACGTCCGACCAACCGGACGTGCTTTGCTGAGCTAACGGAAAAACACGCGAAATAAAACGAACAAACTCGAAATCATACTCGAATATCAAATATAACGAAAAGCAAACAGTCTTTTAAATAAACGAAATGTCAAAATGCGCGCCAAAATAAACGTCAAATGTAGTTTTTAAATGCGCGCACGGAATCCAAGGCCAAAGGTGATGTGAGTGACAGAATACAACCAACTTCTAAGGACACGGGGACATGTGAAGGAATATCATAAAAAACGTATATTGTTTTTATAGCTATTATTTTTTCTTACTAAAAACCACTTAGTTAAAAAACACGATTTAGCAATTTTCTCAAATAAATTACATTAAGTAAATATTTCAAATTTTATGTTAAAAGTATTTTTTAACTAAATGCCGTCGTGTTTTTTTAATGTATTGTAATTTTTAATCTTTGACAGTATATCTTTGAGGTTAGTGTTTAGTAAACTTTGAACTGATAACCTGATTTCCGTGTCTAATGTGCTCGTAGTTCTGTCTTAAGTCCTTGTGCATAATTTCATTAGATAATTAGGCGATAGTTGGTTGCATTCGACCTTGACGCGGCCGTGAATCGAACGACTTGTGCATCAAATTATATACAATTCTAACGGAGTCATTCCCGATTGGTCGTGCGATCGAACTGTACCTCTGTTTAATTAAAAAAGTTGTTTTTCAGTGGATTATGATAAAGGTGTACAAGTGATGTTTTTGTGATGGTGACGTAATAACTTAGTGATAAGGAATGTGTGTCAGTTGTCAGATCTGTGATTGAATGCTCTATCACAATGTCACTACATGAGGTGAGATTATAGATTTAAAGATTTTAGAACTACCCACTTTGAATGTTATAATTTTGAGTTGTTGATAATAATTATTTAGTCCAGAATTTAGTATAATAACTAAATATGTCTGAACAACCAATTTTTAGTAGAGTTTAGCAAATTATAGAGTATTTTAGCTACTAAATTACTTGGTACTCGACTAAATAATAGCCTAATACGAAGAATATCAGCATTGTGCATAACATTAAAAGAAAATTAAAAAGCACACGCAAGAAAGCAATTGTTCTGGAACAGGACAATCAAAAATCGATAGTAGAAGTGGTCAAAAATCGATTATTTTATTTACATTCTGTTGCTACCAGTGGGTTTGCGTAGCCAATGTCAACATTTGCTCTGTCATACCAAAGCCATATTATTTTCACAAATCCCGTTATGTCGCTAAATAGTCCTACGTGCTTGGATTATTAATATAAAACTGTAGATGTGGTTCAGTAGTAAATGTGTTTATTTACGTTTAATTGAAGCCAATTTTTAAATCGAATTTCAAAAACGACAAATATCTCGATTGTTTTTTTTTTAATTAAGAAATAATAAATTTGTTTTTAACGAAGCTTTATTCTTAATGTACTCGACTACATTAATTAATAGCACATTAATATGTAATTAAATTAATAATTAATGTAGCAATAATGTTTGGATTACTCATAGATGACTTTGTTTTTTTTTTTTGCATTTTTACGATAGTTCGACTTTATAGTCAACAACTGTTAAGTTCGATTGTCACATTAATATTGCGTTTTCTTTCGTTCTCTTTGACAAAGTAGAGACAGCGTTATTTATTACATTTACTGCAGTCGAATTAGTTACGAAACATCCCAATATTGAAACAATACCAGCAAACATCAACGCCCATTAACACCAACAAATGTTCGAAACGAAATTTCGTCTACAATTAACGCGCTACCAAACTTCCAAGGACTTTAACCATTGTGTATAGACTTAACAACGTTTAGACGCGCCAATAAATAAATGTCTTAGTATTAGTAACAGTTTATACATTAAATATGGATAAATTATTATCCACTGAATATTGTGTACTCCGTTTGGTTATTTTTATTAAAAGTATATTGTTATGATTATATTAATTCCAAAAGTAAGGCGACTGGCTCAATCACGGCTGTATAAAGTTTAAATAAGTTTTAAAAGAAAACTTATTGCAACTTTCAGGCAGATTTCGCGAACGCAAGATATAAGTAAAGTGATAAAGTTACATTGAACTTACATATATAAATACCTACTCACATTTACTGGCACATTCTGTAGTTACTGTAGGTGGTTCACCCCGAATGAATCAAGAACCAATACGAAACAAGTTGACGTATTTTTAATGCCTAAACGTGCGGTGCAAATTTAACTTTTTTAATGACTAAAGAGGATATACAAGAAAGATTTTTTTTTTAAATACTCCAAAACATAAATGTTTTTCTTTGTTCATACATTTTTTACACTTTTGAATTGATTTTTCGTTATTTCGTTTATCATTACTTCTGTATCCTTTTGCTCTTTTTCTAATGTCAAAACGAAAACACCATATGGTCGATCCAAATCGCATTTTATCATCTTATTGTACGGATTTATACAGCCAGTCTTAGTTTTTAGGACAAATGTATACGTTCATTGCCTTTTTTGACTAACATTATTTATGTTTCACATTCACGTGTGATTTATAGTTACCTTTAGTCCTGACACAGGTTTTCGTATATTCTAAAAACTGTGTTGGATTTGCTATTATCCATTTAAGTTATATGCTACAAC